TCATGAACTGCTCAGAGCTCACAACCAAAGTGGGTGGAGAAACCGGGACAGAAGTCACACTTTGCTACAAAGTCCATCAGACCCAGGAGCACAGTGGCTGGAACCTTCCCCGTCCCCACCAGCAGGGAACACAGGTGTGGAGCTGTTGCCCAGGAGGCAGGGGCTGTTTTATTCCCAATGCACAGAAGAGGCCACTGAGGCACAGAAACAACCTGCTGGGAGGGCACAGGGAACTGATGACAGGCCCTGAGCTAGACGGATGCCACCCACCTCCCAGCCCCCGATGACTTCGTGCTCTCCTGGACGCCCTGCTTAGACCTGGGGCCCTCAAGCCACTTCATGGGTCCTCAGTTCTCTGCCCATCCCTCTCTGTCCCTGGAGAGCACCCTCTGTCCCCAACCCAGCCCTGCCAGCGTCACACAGCAGGCAGTTGGGAGTCCTGCAGCCCGTCCCTGCTCTCCTGAGCCTGAGAAGGCTAAAGCGGCTCAGCTGAGCTTGACCCTGTGTGGACACGGGGTGGGGGCAGAGGTTCACAAGGGGCGTCCCTGGGACCACTGTGGCAGGTCATCCTCCTCCAGCCCTGCCTTGCCAGACGGTGTCCCCATTCCACAGATGAGCAAACTGACACAGGGACTGTGACCTCTTACAATGCAGAGCTGGGCTCCTGTCCTCCACACATCATCCCCACCGCCCCAGCTCACACTCAGCCCAGGGGCTCCCTCCCCACACAAGCGTCCCAGACCTCACTCCCTCCCTGGAGCCATCCTCCCAGGACTCAGAAAGCGGCCATCCGCCAGCCTGCAGCAGGGCATCCCCCTTCCCTCAGACCAGGAGCCAGGAGCCAGGTGGGTGGGCGCCCTGCCTCCCTGCACAGCCCCTCCACGAGGGCCACGACTGCCCCACTCCCTCCCTCCCCCTGGCGCACCTCCAGGCCTGGCCAGTACCAGGCAGGCCACCCCCCTCCCCGGCGCTACCCATGAATCCTACCTCTGTTGGATGCCACAGTCCCCCTTTTCTCCTCCCTAAACAGATGGGGTCTTGAGCTGGGACACCACACACAAGGCCAGATCTATTCCCTCGGGGTTGCCAGGGGGTGGACAGCCAACAAGGGTGCGATCTGCCCAGTCCATGGCCCCTGAAATGGGGGCCGGGTGCTCCGAGCTCCATCCTGGGTCACAGGCACCACCACCACCGCACGCTGAGCCCTCCTCCCTTCCCCTACCCTGACACTGCACACAATGAGGGGCAGGACGTTCTCTGCCCCCAGCAGAGATACCCACACCTCCAAAAGATCACACAGCCAACAACCGCTGTGCTGTGGGCTGCATTTGCTGCTGCGGCCATGGGAGGGGACACGGGCAGGAAAGTCCTTGACACACAGTAGGTACTCAAGGAAACGGCTGCTGTCTTGGATTTTCTCTCTCATCTCTCCTGACCTAGAAGGGTAAGAGATGGGGCCGGCAGAATAGGATACAAGAAATCCTAGGCTGGCAGGACAGAATACCGCTTGTCCCAAGCATCCTGAGACCCTCTGGGCAGCAGTGAGGCCTCCCTGGGCTGCCACAGTTCAGCAGGGACCGTCTGTCTTTCCACCTGGGGAGAGAGCCTCACAGCCAAACCTATAAATCAAAGCTCAGAGCCATCACCTCTGGAAGCCAGCGAAGAGATGATCCTTGTCACAGATAGGTAAACTGAGGTACGGAGTGGTTAAGTCATTTGCCTAAGGTCACACAGCCACTGAGGAGTTGAACAGGTTGCTTTGGACAAGTCAGCCTGCTCCTGTGACCTTGCCTCTCCACTCAGGGTCAAGTCCAAACCTGGTAGCTTGAAACACAAGCTCCCCCCTCCCCCACCTCTCCTGCAACACAATGCAATGCCACAGAGAAAAGCACTGGACCCAGGGTCAAAGGCCAGGTCCGTGCCCTCCTCCTGCCTGGCCTCACCTTCCTTGTTCATGAAATGGGGAAAGCCAAGCCTCCTAGGGTGGCTGGCAGGGAAAGTTACCCATGAATTCACCCTATTTTTTTTTTCAGTACTGGGGAGAGAAGCCGGGGCCTTTGCACTGAGCTGCATCCCCTGACCGCCCCCCTTTTTAGGGGGTCAGTTTGAGACAGGGTCTTGCTATGCAGGTCAGGGTGAACTTTAATTCCAGGCAATCTCCCTGCTTTAGCCTCCCAAATGCTGGGATTACAGGCACACATCACCATGCCAGGCCTCAGCCCTTTTAAAAATTAAAACAGGGTCTTGCTAAATCACTAAGTTGCCCAGGCTGGACTTGAACCTGGGATCCTCCTGCCTCAGCCTCCCAGAACGCTAGGATTACAAGAGTCTACCACCACACCCAGCTTCACCAGATGTTTATTGAATGTCTACACACCAGGGTTCAACCAGCACTGTGTAGAACAAGAACTGGATAGAAAAGGCTGGGACTCCACAGGGTGTGGAAGGCAGAGAGTAAACACTCAAATAAACAAAGCCTGGCCAGATGTGCTGGAGGCTAGATGGAAAAAGAGGGAGGGGGCCTGGAGCACCAGACAGGGTGGTCAGGGAGGGCTTCCCTGAGGAGGTGACAATGGGGGCCTCAGGACAGAGTCAGGGAATCTGCCACCCCCTGTACGTCTTCACTCATTTAAAAGACCGCCAGATTCCATTACCATGCCCCCATTTCACAGGTGTGGAAATTGAGGCTCCCAAGAGCCCACAGCCTATTAATGGCCACTTGGGGACATAAACCACAGCCTGGTCAGTCCAGCCCTGGCTCCCTGCAGCCTTTCCTAGTCTCACTGTCAGGGGCCCCCACCCCCCGTCACCCACCCTTGGTCAGTCCAGCCCTGGCTCCCTGCAGCCTTTCCTAGTCTCACTGTCACAGGCACCCACCCCCCGTCCCACCCACCCTGGAACAGCTGCCACAGAGGAAGCCTTGCGCTGTGAATGACCAAGGTCTGGATGGTCCCACGTCCACCGTTCGGGGTCACCCAAAATAGCCCCGTTCCCTCCCCGGGCTGACAGGAGGTGGGAGGAAGAGGCGGGATAGAGGCTTTACTTCGTCCCTCCCTCGCTGGCCAGGCCCACCCTACAGATGAAGAGGCTGAGGCCACAAAGGCGATGACCGGTGCCCGAGAGCCCTGCCTAGAAAGTGGCGGTGCCAGAACCTGAACCAGACCCTCAGCTTTTGACGACAGTCATCTGCCTGCTGCAGAGCCCCTCCGATGTCCCCTCAGAGAATCCCCTCACCTGGCTGTTCCCTGTGTGACAGCACGAAGGGTTCTGCACACACCATACCTGGGTCCCCTGATTAAAGGCCCCAGAAGAAGCTGCAACACCTGGCTCCACTGCCCAGGTGCTATGTGACCGTCACAAGGTCCTCTGCCTCTCTGGGCTACCCTGTTCTTCTCGCCACGAACTGGGGACAATCTACCCACCAGAGGAGGGGCAAAGGCCAGGGTGCCACGAGGCAGATCTCTGGTGAAAGGACACCATGGCCTCCCTCTGCACATCAGGAAATATTTAAAATCAATTTTTAGGAGGAATGACGGGGGTTGGCTGAGAACCACAAAGCCGAGTCACACACCACACCTCAAACACAGCAACCTTACAAGGCACATGCCCCATCCTCATTGGGCAGAGGGAGAAACTGAGGCACAGGTCACACAGTGTAAGAACCAGGGCCAAATCCCAATGTCACTGCTCTCCCAAGTGGCTTCCTGGCATTTCTCACTGAAATGTTGCCCCAGGAAAATTCTGGAGACTGAGGGTACATAGGGAAGATGATAGTCTCCGAGAGGCACAGGCAGGCCACTCTGTAGCAGGGCCCTGGAGAAGACACATGGACACACTAGGGGACCGGGTGGCCCCAGGGCTGACTCCCTCAGCCCTAGGAGTGTGACCCTCCGCCCCTGCTGTGTGACCTGGACAAGTTGCTTCCCTACCTGACACTGAAAAGGCAGGATCAGGGCCTGTGACAAACTCAACTGAAGGAGGAGCAAGAGTCCAGGAGGGGAAGTCACAACCAGAGGCCCTGAGCAGGGGCAGCGTGGCCATGGCAGAGCAGAGCTTTGGAGGAGGGACAGACGCATCAGTGACAGGCAGCCCGGCCCCGCCCCTGAGGCTCCCAGCCCCTGCAAAACCCCACAGAGAAGCACCAAGTGCCCCGCTGCGGGTTCTGTCCCCAGGGATCCCCACTCCTCAGTAGCCACAGCCCCTGCACGTGGGGACCACCAAGCCTCTGAGACAGCATCACCCTCTGCCTAGCAACCACCTGGGCACCCGCAGCCAGCTTCCTCCTTGTCTCCTCCTCTCTCCATGGAGACCACAATGCCACAGAGGCGGCTCCCTCGCCACAGCAACCACTGTCACTCAGCGCCCGCCCACCCCGCCCCGGACAACAGCTCCCTCCACGTGGTCACCACCAACACAGCCGTGGTGACAGTGACAGCCGAGCCTCTCCTCCCTGGGCGGCCACTAGCTCCAGCCGGGAAGGCACAGCACCTGTGTCCTGACCGCCTGCCGCCTCCTGGTGTCAGACTGCTCCCAACCCATGGCCTCCACGGTGCAGTAACACCGGACACAGCCCTGCGACAACACAGCCGGCATTTCACCTGCCCCCAGCTGACCCCCAGCCCCCAGTCTTCCCCTCCACAATGCAAAGGCCCCTGCTGGAGAGGGAGAAGAGGCCATGTTGTCCCGGGCTGTCTCCCATGGCCGGTCCCCACATCGAGCAGGGACAGACGCCGCGGCCTGCGGGTGCTGGTCCATGTTGTTATGCCCTCAGCCGGGCCCAGAGCAGCAGTGTCCTCCTCACCCTCCTTGGGCCCTGTCCCAGCCCCCAACAGGCCTGCCACTCTGCCGGCTCCCTCAGAGGCTGACTGGGGGTGCGAGGCTGGGGACGGACACCAGCCAGGCAAGAAGGTGCACACAGCAGACCAAGGCTGGGCTCACCACAGGTTCACAAGGCCAGGTCATGTGCGCCACGCTCCCAGTCAGGAGGACCCTGTCCTTACCAGACACGTGCGGGCAAAAGAAAGGGGCCCTGCAGCCAGCACAGCTCTGTCCCTGGCCTGGGTCTCCAGGAGGTCCCCGGGCAGCCGCAGCAGCGTGGAGGCAATGGGATCCCCGGGCCTGGCCCAGCACAGCAGCAGCGGCAGCTCCTCTCCCAAGTCCTCTCCTCAGCCAGGAGGCAAGGGGGAGAGAGGGAGGGAGAGGAGAGGAGAGGAGGAGAGGAAGAGAGGGAGGGGAGAGCGGGAGGGAGGGAGGAGGGAAAACACTGAAGTCTTGAAGGGTACACTCACTTCTTTCTTAGGGTTCCCATAGCAACCGAATATACCACAAATGATATTGGTGGGGGGGGAGCGCAGAGGGAGGGGAGGGAAGAAGGGAGGAGAGAGAGAGAGAGACAGAAAGACGGAAACAGAGGTGAGAGATGGGAGATAGAGGGAGAGAGGCAGAAAGAGATAAACATGGAAGCAGAGAGCTGGGGAGGGAAACAGAGATGGGAAGAGACAGAGACAGAGAGATAGGGGAAAGCAGAGACAGAAGCAGAGAAACGGGAAGAGACAGAGGTAGAGACACAGGTGACGGGTAAGCGACACACGGCGGTGCAGGTCCGTGATCCCAGCCCTCCGTGAAGTTGAGGCAGGAGGATCCAAAGTTCAGCCCCAGCCTGGACAACTTAGCGAGACCCTGTGTCAAAGGAAAAAATAAAATTTCAAAAGCTCCATGCAAAGGCCCTGGGTTCAGTCCCCAGTACCACAAAGCTATACCTATATATAAAATAAAAATAGACCACAGAGCAAGAGCACTAGAGAGGAAGGGCCTGGAAGTACAGAGAGGGCCAGGGTCACCCGTCCAAAGCCTCAGAGCTCAGGGCCAAAGGACAGGCAGTTGCCACAGGTGTCTTTCCAGTGGCTCAGCAGGACGGGCAAGAGCAGGCAGGGTTTTCTGGGACCCTCCAGCCAGTCCCCCATGTCCTACTCACGATCATGGTCACACGCATCACACCCACACACGTGTAAGTGTGCACACACACAGCCTCACACTCGGCTGGCACCCAGCGATGCCAACCGCACCACCTTGCTGCTGGTCAACCGAAGGCCAGCACCACCCACTCCCGCTTCTGCTGGGCACAAACCCTCTGCTGCTGGATCAGAGACCCCGCCCCTCACAACTCCTGGGGCTGACACCCCTTCCCCAGGTGCCCACCTTCCGGCCCTGCACTCACACACACAAGCGACCTCCTCC